AGATAGGTGTGGAGGAGGTATGTGTGTTGGGCTGGGGGGTGGGTAGGGGAGAGGGAGACACGTTCCCCGTCCCCCACGACCGCGAGGAAGAGGAAAACCTGCCCTGCGGTCCCCCTGGGAACACTGCAGAGTAGGGTGTCGGGATGACATCAGCTTCTAAACATAGCCGGCACTGCACCGCACCCCAACTCTGAGCGCCTTGAGCAAGACTGGGAAGGCGGCGGGGGGAGAGCGGGAGAGGCGGGTGCTGCTGTCCATGGGCGGGGCGGCCGGGCTGGCCAGGCTGTGCGGGAAGAGATGACTTTGCAGGAATTGTGCTCGCCGAGTTTGCAGGCAATCTCTCCCGCGATGGTCGAGCCACGGCGTTAGGAAACATTCCTGCCATTCCGCTCTCTCCTTCGCCCCACAAAAGCCACACAACACACACAACTCTTGGAGCTAAGGTGCCTTTATTGACAGCCAACTCATCCCCCAGCCGTAGCGCCCAAGTTAGGTGCGTCTGGGGGGCACCCTCGCTCTTCAGCTCTTCGTCTGCCTCTGGGCTAACCCTGCGAGGGGGTCGGCGCGGCCCTCCCGGTGAGTCAGATGGGCTGTGTTTCCTGTGGTTGTTGTGGAACAGTTTGTCCTTTTTACTCGCCCCCCTCCCCCCGGGCTCGGTCTCCACCCCCTTGGTAAATATAGCGCTCACGTTTCATCATCTCTTTGTCCAACGAGCGCCAGACACCCCGGCCCGCGGCCTCCGCCGCCTCCCTCCTCCTACCGGCTCACGGTTACCTCGCATAACCCCGCGCGGGCAGGCGGAGGGCAGCAGCCTGCCCCACGGCCCGTGCCAGCCCTGCACCCCATCGCTTCCCGCCGCAGTACACTCCCGCCCACTTACCCCTTCCCTGCTTCCAGTCCCCCCCTTAGGTTGTAACCTCATGCCCTCGTCTCAACGCCCCACCCCCCACCATTCCCCGCTACCCCCGTGTTCTGGGAACGGAGTAGAGATACGTGTAGGCGTTCACACCCCTTCTTTCCAGCCCCAGGCGTCATCCCCAAGCCCAGGCCTGTACTGGATCTTCCGCTTACCCAGCCTCCCCCCTCCCAAGTCCCAAGGCCGCCCCCTGTTCCCCTCTAGAGCGCAGGTGATAAGCTGCTGAGCCAGTGTCTGATTCACCGACAGCTGAACGAGCTATGCGTACTTGGGGGTGGGCGCTTCGTGAACAGTCTCCCTCCCACCCCCTCATCCCAGGGGGTGGTAAGCTGGAGGGGTCGGGAAGGCCAGGTGGGTGGATAACAGCCTAGAAGTGCGTCCTGACTCTTCCCTCTCTCCCTTCCCCTCCTAGTTTCATTTCCACACATACAACCACCCACCGGGGACCGGAGGCGGCTGGTGTTCTCTGAACGCAGGGAACTGGCTCTCTCTTTGGTCTCCTGTTTACTTCCCCCCTCCTTTTCCCCCTCCCTCCTTCTCGCCCCCACCACCCCACGCTGCCTCCCGCCCTGAGCAGCTGGGAAACCTGCAGTAAAACACTGCAGTCATGAGACTTCCCTGGACCCCAGCTGTGGCCTGGGTATGCCCTGCCCTACCCTGCCCTGCATTGCCCTGTGGTCTACTTGGGGGCATTTCTTTGGCCTGGAAAGAAAGACTCTTGGGGCTCCCCATCTAGGAATGTAGAAGAGGTGACGGCCTCTCTGCCTCTTCTCCCACCTTGGCACCAGATACTATCCTGTGGGGGCCCTGCCTGGCTGATTTGGCCAGGTCTCTAGGCCACCTCCACGAATGACCACCTGTCTAGGGAGGGGTAGTGAGAGAACGGACAGTGTGTAAGAACTCAGGATCCAGGATGCTGCAGAGCTGGCTTATTTGCTGTCACAGGCTGTCCTGTTCATGACAGAATGCCCAAAGTTCCCTGCTGAGCAAGGTTTTTAGGCAGAGCTGGGAAACCTGCTCCCAGGGACAGACACACCCTCTCCTTATGGAGTCTGGGAAAAGCTTTCCCTTTCAAAGGTTGCTCCCCAGCAGGGAAGAATTCAGCCTCCCTCCCTAAGTAAGCTGAATGAGCAAAGAACTCAGAGGAGGCCATGAGGGTTGCGCTCTGGGTGCTGCCTGCCTGAAGTTCACCCCATTTAAAAAGCCACCTCTTCACCACCATTCTGCTCCACTCCCATGGTTACCAACCAATTCCCTTGTCCTTCCCCAGCACAAATGTTGCACAGAAGCAGAAACAAACAAGGGCATTTTAAATGTTCTTTTAAGAAGGGAGAATGGCAATCCCGACTGTTCCCCACGTTTTTTTCTGACCCCAGGAACCTGAATGAATCTCTTCTCCTGGCTGGCCTCTTATCTGCCAAAGGGGGAAGGAAACATTGAGTAAGGTACTCTCATAAGTGGAATTGATAACAGAGCAGGTCTACCCTGTGCAGGAAAGTTATTACCCCATAAGGCTGTTTCACCCATACCCTCTGCAGCCTGAAATCCCCTAGCTCCTCGGAAGTCCCTGCCGTCAGACTGTACCACCCCCAGCTTGTTGCTGTCTTCTTTAGGCTCTCGTGCACTTCCCCGTCATTCCCGGAAGATTCCACTACCTGGCAAAACCCCTGGTTCTGTTCAGCTTTAACATGCTGAAAGAAAGCAACAGTGCTAACTCTTGTCACTAAATTTATGATCCTAAATCTCAAGGGGGCTCTCAACCCTGCCCTTCTTCATTTCCCTAGTCTTTTTACTTTCCACACTCTGAAATGACTACATGGCACCTTCTATTCTCAAACATCCAACACCCTTCCCTTCCTCACTCTGGGCTGAAAACCTTGCTGCTTCTTTCACTAAGAAAATAAAAGCAATTTGGCAAGAACTGCCTAACCTTCCCAACACCATAGTTTCCATACTATCTGCCTCTCTGCCCAGACTCTGCCTTCTCTCCTGTCACCTGGGTGTAGTGTTTCTAACCCCCTCCAATTGACACCATGGTCCCTTTTCTCTTGATTAATGGCTGCTCCTGAAATTGTTCCCTGATCTCCTTGTTGATTGTCTCTCCTAAATAATTCACTTTAACGCAAAAACATGATGTACTCCCTCCCATCTTTATATATGTTTGTGTGTATATATCTTCTTTGTCCCATAATCCCCTCCAATATTACTCCACCTGCCTTTTTTTTGGCGGGGGGTGGGGGGGGTGGGGGACTGCAAACATCACAAAGTTGCCTGTACTCATTGCCTGTGCGTCCATACCTCTTATTCTCTCTTGATCTCACACCAATCACTTTCACCCCCACTTGCTCCACCAAAACTGCTCTTGTCAAGGTCACAAATGCTCTCTAGCCTGCCAAATCTATTGGGTACTTATTTCACTTCATCCACCCTGGAGCAAAGAAGACTAAGAAGGAGTGGACAGTACAGTAAGAGGGAAAACAGGAGACTATTGTGCCCTGGAAGCCAAGAGAAGAAATTGTTTCAAGGAAGAGAGTTTAATTTCTTTTTTAGTCTCCTTCGGTCATTTTAGTTCTTCTTGCTCTCTAAAAGTTGGGGTGCCCCAGGGCCCTGTTCTTGGCTCTTTTCTTACCTACACTCACTCTCTTGGTGACTCAATCCCATCCCACAGCTTTAATATCTTCTCTGTGCCAAAGACACCCAAGTTATCTTCAGTCCATACCTCTCTCTTGAACACAAGACTTGACTATCCAACCATCTACTCATCATCTCCACTTGAATATCTAACAAGCATCTCAAATTTAACATATTAAAGTTGAACTACTGATTATTATCCGCGCCCCCCACCCCCCGCCTGCCGCCAAAGTCTCTATTTAAAGCCTTCCCCAACTAGGATAAAGGCATTTCTGTAGATCTGGTTGCTTAGGCCATAAACCAAAGTGTTATCCTTGATTCCTTTATTTATATCCTATAGCTAATTCATCAGGAACTCCTGTTAGCTGTATTTTCCAAGTACATCCAGAATCTTGCATTTTGAGTCACCTTCACTGCTTCCATTTTTATCTCTTGCACTGATAACTGCGGGAGCCTTCTAGCTGGTCTCCCTGCTTCTGCTCGTGCCTTGGCTTTTCTTCTCAACACAACTGCTAGAATGGTCTTCTTAAAATACATGTCAGGTCACATCATTCCTCTGCTCAAAACTGCGCAGTGACTACTCCTCACTCAGAGTAACTGCTGAAGTCCTCACAGTGGGGACAAGGTTCATACCATCCTCCCAAAAAGAGACTTTCTGACCTCTTCTACTTGCACCCCATTCCTCACTCTACTCCAGCCACCCTGCCCACCTTAAAGCATTTGCAGTGACTCTTCCTCATACCTGGACTCCTTTTCTCCAAGATCTCTGCTTGGAGCCTTTGTCCAAATATCTCTTTTTAAGATAGATCTGCCTTGGAATTGTGTTCGTGGTTGCAACTTCTGCAGTTGCTCCTTTTCTACATTTTCTTTTTCCATGGCATTTATATTCCAACATGCTACATAGTTTGTTTATTTAATGTATTTGTTGTTTCTTGTCTGTCTCATACTAAACACAAGCTCTTCTGTTTACTGATGTACTCTTAGTGCCTAGAACAGTGCCTGGCAGATGATAAGCTCTCAGTATGAATGTTGAGTAAACAGTATAAACAGCTATAAATTTTTTGAACCTTTGCTATGCGCCAGACATTCCAAAATACATTCCATGTCGTCTTAACACCTCTGGTTTATAGATGAGAAAATTAAGTACAGAGAGGGTAAATGAGAAATACAAGCTCACATGATGGTGAAGCTACGATTTGAACTCAGGACTCTGAATCCAGAGCTCATCTTCTTAAGCACATCAGTCTTGTGTCCCTTATATGAGTAAGCTGTAAGGCCAAAAGTGAGTTCTTTCTGCGGTGGCTGTAGTCAGCTGTGGAGAAGTGCACTGTGACATCACTTGAGTGTGTATAGAGGAATAGGATGTGTCACCCAGATTCGTTCTTTCTCCAACTCCAGCCACTAGTGCTAAAGAAAGAGTGAGGGTGATGGGCAAGGACATGACCATGTATTTGGCTTACGCAAGAGTATTTTGGTTACTTATGAAGATGTTCATCCTATTTGTATAATAGAGGCAGCTTGGTGCAGTAGATTTGTTTCTTGATCACAATACATTTTAAACAGGGATTGGCTGGAGTCTCTCTTAATGTAGGACCAGACTGATGGAATAGCCACCATTTGGAACATTCAAGTCATAATTTCTACTTATATCTCTTATGTCACCATCCCAGCCATGAGGGAAACAGAAAACGCAATCTTACTGTGTGCCCCGAAGGCAGAGAGCTAGAATTATTTGTTGAGTCCTTTCTAGCATGACTGGTAAGCTTTAGTTGGATAAACCATTTTATAGATAACAACTATAAACTCTGGATAACATGTAAAAAAAAAAATAATCTGAGGTTCCTGGAGAAGGAACAAAAACAGGCAGATAGTGGAAGGGAGTTGGCATTTGGAAGATGAGAATGATATGAAGAGACTTTCTTGTTTATTACGGTTTTTAGCCTGAGGATAGGTCTAATTGGTACCATTTAAATGGTTAAAATACTGATAGAAAGCCAACAGTCTTATTGGCTTAAAGAGCCAGAGGATAAGTTTTGGGGCACCTACAGGTGCTGGAAAGTACAGGAATAAATTCCAGAAATGAGAGAGCTAGAGAGGAGGAACCCCAAATTTAAGGTATAACTCTGCTCAAAGCTCTGGCCAATGGCTGACTCACACGTGCGTGTGGCAGACTCTTAGAAGCCCAGGTAAGTCTACACAAGTGCTCGCTTTATGGA